CGTACGACCTATGTATTTGCTGCCACAAACACACTCAAATTGATATATGCAGTTTGAAGTGTCGAGGATTGGCGACTGGTCTTTCCCAGATTGTTGAAGCACTCGCTTGGTGGTGTTAAGGATAACAAGTTTTGCAGCATAATAAGTTCTCTTGATGGCTTTGTCGAGTCTTCGTTTCACTACTTCTTGTACGTCATCTCCTTTGAACGGTAAATTGATATAAACAGGTTTCTTTGGAACTGTTTGAATTGTTTTGCGGGGGTAGTTTCTTTGGAGTATTTATTAATGAACTTCTCAGGATATCCATTCTTAGATAAAATATCCTTCAGAGATTTTATTTCCTGTTCAATAGTACTGTCAGAACAAATTTTCCGTGCTCTATTGAACAGTGTTCTGACTAGGTTCTTTTTGTACTGGATTGGGACAAAGCTCTTGAAATGCATGTACTGTCCTGTCCATGAAGACTTTCTAAATATAGATCTTTCGATTGTGCCATCATTCATTTTGGCTAGAAAAACGTCTAGGAATTTCATAGTATTGTTTTCCTCGTGTTCTACTGTGAAATTGAGATTTGGATGGCATGAATTGAATTTTATCAACATGTCTTCCGCTTTTGATCTGCTTTCACAGACAATAAAAATGTCATCAACATATCTTAGGTATACATTTGTTTCTTGTATGTGCTGCTGCAAAGCACCGGTTTCTAGGCGTGACAAGAATAAGTCGGCGAAAAGTGGTCCCAAAGGGCTTCCCATTGCGACACCATCAACTTGACGGAATAGACGCCCGTTGAATTGGAATTGGACATTTTTAGTACATAAAAGTAGTAATTTCCTCAATTCCGATGTTGGAATGGGTATGTCTTCAGCTTCTTTACATATGAAGTCGATAGTCTCAACAACTGGCACATTTGTGAAAAGGGAGGTAACATCGAAAGAGACCAAATGCTTATCGGATACATTGAAATCTTTAATTTGATTGACAAATTGAAATGAATCAGAGACTATATGTGTTCCGAAACGTTTCAACAATGGCTGCAACAGTTCACATAACCACTGTGCTAGTCTGTGGTACGGCGAGTTTATCATAGAGAGTATGGGTCTTAACGGCGCTCCTGGTTTGTGTATTTTTACGCGTCCGTATAGTTTTGGGATTTGTGACCCAATCGGTTTGATATTTCTATATGTGTTTTCGTCTATGTATTTATTTTTGAAGAGTTGTCGTAGATGCTGCACAATTTTCCTTTCGGTTGATAACGTTTGGTCTTTTGCATGGTTATCCAATTTGAATTTAGATTCATCGGCGAGAATTTGATGCATTTTTTCGAGATAATCTATCTTGTTCATTAGCACTACACTTTGTCCCTTATCAGCTTGTAGGATAACAAGATTTTTGTCTTTTCGAAGCTTGTTTAAAGATCGCCAGTGTTCTTTGGTGATATGCGACTTTTGATTGGTCGGCATGACTCGAAATTGATGAGCGATATCAACCATCTTTGCTTTCAACCAGCTTTCGCTGTCACTGGACGTGGCATGTAGCCCCATAAGTTGATCATAAAGATTTTCGAATTGGCATTCGATATCGATTTGCTTTATCTTCTTCATGGGAACACAGGATTTGAATCCCAATGACAGAATTTCTGCTTGTTCTTTTGATAGGGAAACATCAGATAAATTGTGAACATAATTAGATATATCCACTGGGAAAATTTCATTTGGCGGTTCCGGATAAAGTGACTTCTTCAGTTTCTTTACTTCTGATTCTTTTGTCTTTTATGATGTGGCATGCAGATATTTAGTGAATTTAATATAACATACGAAGTTTAAGTCACTTTGTACATTGATCAGTTTGCTTGACGATAGGAATAAATTACTGATTTCATCTGTTTCAGAAGACAAATGTGATTCAGCAGGACGGTAATTAATTTATTATGCTGCAAAACGTGTTATCCTTAACACCACCAAGCGAGTGCTTCAACAATCTGGGAAAGACCATTCGCCAATCCTCGACACTTCAAACTTCATATATCAATTTGAGTGTGTTTGTGGCAGCAAATACATAGGTCGTACGGAAAGGCGATTGTCTACTCGCATGATGGAGCATTTACCAAAATGGTTGAAAACAGCTGAGTTCAAAGTCCCAAAATCCTCAATAACAAAACATCTCGTGGATTACGGACATGATATCGACGCCGTCAAGTCATTTACCATTGTCAGCAAACAAAGAAACAAGAAGATGCTTGCAATTGCAGAGGCTTGTGCAATTCGAATTTATAAACCAGCTCTCTGTATACAAAAGGAGATGGTCGTAACTCTTAATCTACCATGGTAATACGTTTTATTCTCTACTTGTTATTATTCTACCTCTTCTTCTTCTTACTATTATTGTTATTATTATTACCATTATTCTTGATTCATCTAAAACTATGCTTTATCAGTAAGATTATCTTAACTCACTTCAACACTATTAAAACTGTTATTATAACTATTACTATTGATATTAGTCTGTTTGCAATTCTCCTTATATTCCCTAGTGACTAATTGTTTATCTAAGTGATGCAATTGAAGCGTAATGCCATTTATCTTAATTTTGATCTCTCATACTCTCTCTCCCCTTATCTATTTGAACATGACCTGGAAAATATTCGCACCTGTCTCTCTGCATGATTAATTCAATGTAGTTTGTTTACTTATCAGTCTTATATCTCCCAATGTAATTTCAAAAGTATATATATTCGTGTATGTAGAGTATTCAACTTATCAGTCTTATATCTCCCAATGTAATTTCAAAAGTATATATATCCGTGTATGTAGAGTATTCAGCTGACGAGTTCTACCGAAATTTGATGAATTCATTAAATCCTGCTTTATTAACCTTTATTGCTTGTTTTAAATTCGTATCGGGAAATAAATGTTTTCAATTCTTGAAGAAGCGTCTCCCAAAAAGCACTATCAATGCACTAAATGATCTAGTGAAATTGAAGTGCAGGATTGCTAAACACTCTGCACGACGAGATTTTTTGAAAGAATGTATCCAGAATAATATTTATCCTCGAACATTTTACAAATCCTTGCGTAAAGATCATCTGAGACCTACACGAGCGAATCTTTACCGTCTTGCTGAATCACATTTGTCTTCTGAAACAGATGAAATCAGTAATTTATTCCTATCGTCAAGCAAACTGATCAATGTACAAAATGACTTAAACTTCGTATGTTATATTAAATTCACTAAATATCTGCATGCCACATCAAAAAAGACAAAAGAATCAGAAGTAAAGAAACTGAAGAAGTCACTTTATCCGGAACCGCCAAATGAAATTTTCCCAGTGGATATATCTAATTATGTTCACAATTTATCTGATGTTTCCCTATCAAAAGAACAAGCAGAAATTCTGTCATTGGGATTCAAATCCTGTGTTCCCATGAAGAAGATAAAGCAAATCGATATCGAATGCCAATTCGAAAATCTTTATGATCAACTTATGGGGCTACATGCCACGTCCAGTGACAGCGAAAGCTGGTTGAAAGCAAAGATGGTTGATATCGCTCATCAATTTCGAGTCATGCCGACCAATCAAAAGTCGCATATCACCAAAGAACACTGGCGATCTTTAAACAAGCTTCGAAAAGACAAAAATCTTGTTATCCTACAAGCTGATAAGGGACAAAGTGTAGTGCTAATGAACAAGATAGATTATCTCGAAAAAATGCATCAAATTCTCGCCGATGAATCTAAATTCAAATTGGATAACCATGCAAAAGACCAAACGTTATCAACCGAAAGGAAAATTGTGCAGCATCTACGACAACTCTTCAAAAATAAATACATAGACGAAAACACATATAGAAATATCAAACCGATTGGGTCACAAATCCCAAAACTATACGGACGCGTAAAAATACACAAACCAGGAGCGCCGTTAAGACCCATACTCTCTATGATAAACTCGCCGTACCACAGACTAGCACAGTGGTTATGTGAACTGTTGCAGCCATTGTTGAAACGTTTCGGAACACATATAGTCTCTGATTCATTTCAATTTGTCAATCAAATTAAAGATTTCAATGTATCCGATAAGCATTTGGTCTCTTTCGATGTTACCTCCCTTTTCACAAATGTGCCAGTTGTTGAGACTATCGACTTCATATGTAAAGAAGCTGAAGACATACCCATTCCAACATCGGAATTGAGGAAATTACTACTTTTATGTACTAAAAATGTCCAATTCCAATTCAACGGGCGTCTATTCCGTCAAGTTGATGGTGTCGCAATGGGAAGCCCTTTGGGACCACTTTTCGCCGACTTATTCTTGTCACGCCTAGAAACCGGTGCTTTGCAGCAGCACATACAAGAAACAAATGTATACCTAAGATATGTTGATGACATTTTTATTGTCTGTGAAAGCAGATCAAAAGCGGAAGACATGTTGATAAAATTCAATTCATGCCATCCGAATCTCAATTTCACAGTAGAACACGAGGAAAACAATACTATGAAATTCCTAGACGTTTTTCTAGCCAAAATGAATGATGGCACAATCGAAAGATCTATATTTAGAAAGTCTTCATGGACAGGACAGTACATGCATTTCAAGAGCTTTGTCCCAATCCAGTACAAAAAGAACCTAGTCAGAACACTGTTCAATAGAGCACGGAAAATTTGTTCTGACAGTACTATTGAACAGGAAACAAAATCTCTGAAGGATATTTTATCTAAGAATGGATATCCTGAGAAGTTCATTAATAAATACTCCAAAGAAACTACCCCCCGCAAAACAATTCAAACAGTTCCAAAGAAACCTGTTTATATCAATTTACCGTTCAAAGGAGATGACGTACAAGAAGTAGTGAAACGAAGACTCGACAAAGCCATCAAGAGAACTTATTATGCTGCAAAACTTGTTATCCTTAACACCACCAAGCGAGTGCTTCAACAATCTGGGAAAGACCAGTCGCCAATCCTCGACACTTCAAACTGCATATATCAATTTGAGTGTGTTTGTGGCAGCAAATACATAGGTCGTACGGAAAGGCGATTGTCTACTCGCATGATGGAGCATTTACCAAAATGGTTGAAAACAGCTGAGTGCAAAGTCCCAAAATCCTCAATAACAAAACATCTCGTGGATTACGGACATGATATCGACGCCGTCAAGTCATTTACCATTGTCAGCAAACAAAGAAACAAGAAGATGCTTGCAATTGCAGAGGCTTGTGCAATTCGAATTTATAAACCAGCTCTCTGTATACAAAAGGAGATGGTCGTAACTCTTAATCTACCATGGTAATACGTTTTATTCTCTACTTGTTATTATTCTACCTCTTCTTCTTCTTACTATTATTGTTATTATTATTACCATTATTCTTGATTCATCTAAAACTATGCTTTATCAATAAGATTATCTTAACTCACTTCAACAATATTAAAACTGTTATTATAACTATTACTATTGATATTAGTCTGTTTGCGATTCTCCTTATATACCCTAGTGACTAATTGTTTATCTAAGTGATGCAATTGAAGCGTAATGCCATTTATCTTAATTTTGATCTCTCATACTCTCTCTCCCCTTATCTTTTTGAACATGACCTGGAAAATATTCGCACCTGTCTCTCTGCATGATTAATTCAATGTAGTTTGTTTACTTATCAGTCTTATATCTCCCAATGTAATTTCAAAAGTATATATATTCGTGTATGTGTGGTGAGAGCAGGCTGCTAGCCGATTGGTTGGCACTAATCTACGTTAATGTCTAGGTCACTAATATTGACCGTGAACAAGGCTGTTTCAACAACCAATCACAGCAAACCTAAATGTGGACAAATATGATTCGCAGATAGATGGCTCTACTTTCCGAGAAATATCGAACACAACCAATCATAAGACTGTGTTTGTCTGCTTAACTTCCGAGAAACAACCAATCAGAAGACTGCCTTTTTCTGCTTGCATAAGCCTTATTAATGCATATAAAATATATATAAATACGTGTTGATTTTCGTAATAAAACGATCTGTTGCCAGCCCTTGTCTTCTGTTGTTACATTTGGTGTCGCTGCCTCCAAGAAGATGAAGATCCCGTGGCCAGCTGCGTTTGAAGAAGGTGACATACGGAGCTTCTTACGTGACTTCGAAGCCGTTGCTGAGCTGGTGGGTGTCAAGGAGCAGGCGGCGAAGGCAGTTGTCCTGGGGACGCTGTTGAGAGGCCGAGCGAAGGCTGCATATGACAGCGTAGACAGGTCAAATGGCACAGCGTCTTGGAAGAAATTGGTTGAACGACTAGTGTCCGAGTTTGACAGCGAAACAGACAGACAGCTAGCAATGCAGCAGTTCCGGTCAATGAAGCTTGGACCTGATGGAGACCCGCTAGTGTTGGCGGTGAAACTGACTAATCTACTTCGACGCGCGCTTCCCACTTTAGATGAAGAATCAGAAGCGCAGTTACTGTCTTCCCAATTCATCGAGAGTGTCCCAGACCACATTTCTCAGCGATTAAAACTGGTTAACGCAACGCAGCCGATGGATATTAGTGAGCTGGCGAAGGTGACCAGACAGCTGCTGAGCACAACGGTAGCCGCTATAGACCAACCAAAACCAAACGAATATGAGCAAAAATTGAAGCATTGCAGCGGGAAGTGGCGGCGTTAAAGTTGGCTGATAGAAAAGACCGGTGTTTTGAATGCGGTAAGCCGGGACACTGGAGAAGATACTGCCCAGAAAGGCGAAAAAGAAAAAATTTCAGACGGTATAATGCTTGTTCTTTCTTTCGTATGAACCTAGATTTAGTGGGGGCTATTGAGAAAGGCGCTCTGTATTCGAAGTTGCGAGTGAATGATCGAGAAGTAGTATGTTTGATAGATACAGGGCGGCCGTGTCGTTAATAGATAAGAATTTATGTAAGAGTGTTAATCCGTGTTCATTGACAGTACAAACAGTAGGCGGGTATGTGTTGCGTATCACGGGTAGATCGAACTGTACGGTCGTTGTTGGTGGCTGCGAGGTGACGTTTCCTTTCATTGTTGTACCCGAACTACAGCGAACGATATTAGGAGCGGATTTTCTGCGTGAGATTGGTGCCATAATCGACACGCAAGCGAACGTGGTGATCACGAAATACGGGCATATCAACATGTATGAGACCAGCGAGATAGCAGCGATTAAGCTGTCGACGGTACACAATGTGACAGAGTTAATTAATAAATACGATCATCTGTTCACTGGAGATGGGACCCATACGGTTATTGCGATAAGGTGAATCATGAAATTCCGTTAAGTGATCCGAAAGTAAGGTCATTTTTAACGCGAAGAGTTCCATGTCATCTGGAAGGCGAAGTGGAGCGACAAGTGCAAGAGATGTTAAAAGATGATATTATTGAGGAAGCTGATAGCCCATACAACTCTCCAGTGCTGTTAGTAAAAAAAGCGAATGGGAAGTATAGATTCTGTGTTGATTTCCGACAGTTAAACAGTATGACAGAGTTAAGACCGTGTGCCATGCCAACAGTGGTAGAAACCTTAGATCGCCTACAAGGTGCGAATGTGTTTTCGGTTCTCGATCTTCGCTCAGGATACTGGCAGATACCGATAAAACAAAGTGACAGAGATAAGACGGCTTTCATCGTGGGTCAGACACAATATCGATTTAAACGCATGCCGTTTGGACTAGCAGGTGCACCGTTTACGTTCAGACGACTGATGAAGCTATTACTTAAGAACTTGAAAAACGTGGAGGTTTATGGTGATGATCTCGTCATATACAGTCAAACGAAAACGATCACGTCAACCATGTAGAAGCCGTGCTGCGACGCATCGAAGAGTTTGGACTACGCGTCAACAAAACCAAGTCTCAGATAGCCAAAAAGAATGTTACTCTGTTGGGACATAAAGTGGGAAATGGTGAGATTAAACCACTGCCGGAGAAAATTTTGACGATTAAAACGATTCCAGCCCCGAATTCAAAGAGAAAACTGAGACAATTCTTGGGTAGAGCAGCGTTTTATAGTCGCTTCGTGAAGAACTTCAATGAGATAGCAGCCCCTCTATACAGGCTACTAGGTGAGCCAAAGTTTGTTTGGTCGGAAGAATCGCAGAGGACATTCGACAGAATTAAACAGCTGCTCGACCACCAACAAATGACGCTAAAACTACCTGTGCCAGGAAGACAGTTCACAGTGTGCACAGATGCCAGTGACTACGCTATAGGTGCGGTCCTAAGACAGGACGAGGGAATCGTTGAGTATGCCAGTAGGGTGTTGACCCTCACAGAGAGAAAGTATTCAACGATAGAGAAAGAATGTTTAGCAATGGTATGGGCAGTCGACAAATGGAGACCTTATTTACTCGGCCGGCGGTTCCACATCGAAACTGATCATAAGCCGCTACAATTTTTGAAGACAGCGAGAGACCCACGGGGGAAGTTGTCACGGTGGATGTTGCGTCTTCAGGAATACGATTTTACGATCTCACACGTTCCTGGAAGTGAAAATGTCTTGGCAGATTTGTTATCGAGACCAGAAGATGAGTCTGAGTTGCCCGAGGTCGCTTACGGAGTGCATGCAGTAGAACAAGACCCACTAAGACTTGCACGTAGGCAGAGGTTGGACGATACGCTGAATACAGTAATACAGGTGATCACCAACGGAATAGAAGTGGATCAAACTACGGCGAGTAAGGAGCTAACCACACTACTCAGACAGAGGGATCGACTCAGAGTGAATGCCTACGGGACTCTGACCTGGCGAGAGAACGACGGAAGCTGGCTGGCTGTCATACCTCAATCGTCGCGCCACGACATGATAGAAGAATGTCACCAGCTAGCGCATACAGGCGTGGCCAGAACGACCGACCTCCTAAGACAAAGTATGTACTGGCCAGGTATGAGAGAAGACGTAGCAAGATACGTACTTGGATGTCCACGGTGCCAGCTGATGAAAGGTGACCGGTATATACGACCACCACTTCAGTCGATTCCAGTTACCGCGATAGGTGACTTGTGGTCCGTAGATGTCATGGGTCCATTTCCTCAGACATCCAATGGTAATCAGTACCTCTTGGTGATGACGGAACACGCGACACGATGGGTAGACGCCGTAGCAATCCCAGACCAACGTGCAAGAACCGTGACAGATGCAGTAGTTAGACACATTGTTGCAGACCACGGCGTACCGAAGACAATACTGACAGACCAAGGTCCCTGTTTCGAGAGTGAAGAGTTTACTTCCCGTTTGCAACAGCTGGGCATCAAGAGGATCAGAACGACCCCATACCATCCACAAACGAATGGCCTAACGGAGAGAAACAACCGTACACTGAAAGAGTGGCTGGCTTCGAAGGGCGGGAACTGGGAAACGGAGCTTCCACTGATTTTACTAACACATCGGGCTACCACTCAGGAAACAACGAAGAAGTCACCCTTCCAACTGATGTATGGTAGAAAACCACGATTACCGGTACACAATGAGACCTGGCCCATGCACCAAAAGTGGAGTACGACGAAATTAAAAGCAGAGAGGAAAGAGGCAGTCAAGAATGTAATACGGAAGCAGCGCAGTGATGTCACGAAGTCTCAGATGAAAGAAAGGACGCAGTGCATTACTTTTGCAGTCGGGGACCAAGTGAAGTGTAGAGACAGGAGATATACAGTTGGAGGCGGGCTAGGTTCACGGAAACTCCTTCCAAAGTGGGAAGGACCATACACAATCACAAAAAGACGGGGTCAAGTATATACCATCCGAAGAGGTGATAAACAGAAACGAGTTAACGCCAGTCAGCTACAAAGATGGGTACAGTGGGACAAGCCGGTCAGTAACAATCCTCAACTAGAGGATGTAGCACCCAGAAGGTCGGAACGTCTGCGCACAAAGCTATTTGACGGGGGGACGAGTGTGGTGAGAGCAGGCTGCTAGCCGATTGGTTGGCACTAATCTACGTTAATGTCTAGGTCACTAATATTGACCGTGAACAAGGCTGTTTCAACAACCAATCACAGCAAACCTAAATGTGGACAAATATGATTCGCAGATAGATGGCTCTACTTTCCGAGAAATATCGAACACAACCAATCATAAGACTGTGTTTGTCTGCTTAACTTCCGAGAAACAACCAATCAGAAGACTGCCTTTTTCTGCTTGCATAAGCCTTATTAATGCATATAAAATATATATAAATACGTGTTGATTTTCGTAATAAAACGATCTGTTGCCAGCCCTTGTCTTCTGTTGTTACATATGTAGAGTATTCAACTTATCAGTCTTATATCTCCCAATGTAATTTCAAAAGTATATATATCCGT